GGCTCAATTGTAGTTCTAGTGATTGAAATGATGATGAAGGCTTTAATTGGAAATAGCATGCCGACGTCATTCCATCCAATTACTGATTTTATTTTTTATCCATGATTGTTGTAGATCGCAGTCGATTAGTTGCAGGTAAAAGAATGAATGAATGAATAATAAGGAAAAATTGATCAATTCGTGTGCTATAAATATTTACATCCTCCAAGAATCATTATTATTTTTTTATAACAATAATTATCTTTCCTTGAACGTCAGGGTAAATTCAATAATATACATTTTTCTTCGCTTTTTTTTGATGGATCGATGGACTGCACTAATTTTTAAAGATAATTTTCTTGATTAATGGATATATTTTTTTGCTCTATGATTGAAGAGAAATTCTGGTTGATGTAATAGTTTTATTAATGCCTATCTTTCCCACAGTGATCTGAAATCGGAGGACAAGGATAGGCGATTATTGATAGAAATTTGGGACTGGGATCGAACGTCGAGAAATGACTTCATGGGTTCATTATCATTCGGAATATCTGAATTGATGAAGGCACCGGTAACAGGGTGGTTCAAGCTGCTTACACAGGAAGAGGGAGAATTTTATAACGTACCAGTGCCCGAGGAAGGGGTAGATCTTGCTGAGCTTAAAACTAAGATGCGGGTAAGTTGTCTTTGTGATAATGAGATTAAAGAAGTTTGATGGAAGAGAGCATAAAAAATGACGGAAATTTTTCAGAAAACATCGGTGACAAAGAAGGCACCGATGACGCAGCAAGAGAGGGATTTACCACACAATATGGGAAAGAGTGATCTGATAAGGGCGAGTGATTTCAATTTTCTCATGGTTCTTGGAAAAGGAAGCTTTGGAAAAGTATTACTCGCTGAAAGAAAAGGCTGTGACGAGCTTTATGCTATAAAAATATTGAAGAAGGATATCATAATACAGGATGATGATGTCGAGTGTACGATGGTGGAGAAGCGGGTGTTGGCATTGTCACACAAACCTCCATTCCTGGTTCAACTTCATTCCTGCTTTCAGACAATGGTGAGTCGATAATTTATGAATCAGCCCATCGAGAGAATAATTCACTGGAAATTACCAGAAGATGATCTGGAAATTTTAAAGGTACAAATAGAATTATTTCATTGAGTCATTTAGCTACATTTATTTAACTCGTACGAAGTGAAATGTTGACTTGAAATTAATTTTTGTTGCAAGTTTTATTGGCAGCTTCTCAAATTTGAGGACGCAAATTAAGGAGTCATTGTTGATATTTTCTCCTTTTCAAGTTTTTTTACAAAGTTCTGAAAAACGGTTGATAAAATGCACCTGAAAAAATATGCAGTTTTGAAGTTTTAGAATTATACAATGCCTCATGATGTTTCATTCCCGTGAAAATTTGTGAATAAGTGAATAATGGAAAAATCTAGGGGTTTCCCAGAAATTTCGAGAAATTTACAAAAAAAACGTGACAAATGAGAAGATATCGGCAATAATAAACCCTTGATTTGATGATATGAGTGAATGAACGAATTAATGAACGTTATCAATAATATATAATTAAGAATCAAGTTAAAGTCATGGATGATCGACGAGGCGAGAGAAATACACCGGTTATGAAAATGAAAGGTGAATTTAAACTCGTGAAAATTTTCCGGGAAGAAGAAGAAATGAACAAGGAATTGCCACCACGAACTCCGAATGAATGTTCTCTGTTTCTTCACAGGATCGACTGTACTTCGTAATGGAATACGTGAATGGCGGAGATCTCATGTTCCAGATACAACAGTGCGGCAAGTTCAAAGAGCCCGTGGCAGTGTAAGTCTATGACTCAAAGAAGTAAATAAAAAACTCCCCGCAACTCAATTAAAAACTTCTTTTCCCACCATTGACATTCAGAAGACGCATTTGAAAATTGTAATCTAGATACCTCGAGTTCGTGAATTCAATAAAAGTTGTACGTTTACTCTCACATTTCCAGGTTTTACGCCTCAGAAATAGCTATTGGTCTATTTTTCCTCCATTCTCGTGGTATTGTGTACCGCGACTTGAAGCTGGATAATGTCCTGCTGGATCAGGACGGTCATATCAAAATTGCTGATTTTGGAATGTGCAAAGAAGGAATTCTGGGGGACCGAACGACTAAAACATTCTGCGGAACACCTGATTATATTGCTCCTGAGGTTGTGCTCTCATATTAATTTTTTTTATCAACTTTCGTTTAATAAAACAATAGAATTATTTTTCTAGCCTAATCATTCAGCTTCTCCAGGCCATTTTGCAGCTCTCATCAAATATTTCTGTTTTTAATATTTATTTAGAAATGAATATTTATTGGAGGCGTGAATATTTCAGATAATACTCTACCAGCCGTATGGGAAATCCGTTGACTGGTGGGCGTATGGAGTTTTACTGTATGAAATGCTCGTTGGACAACCGCCTTTTGATGGTGAAGACGAGGAAGAACTGTTCGCTGCTATCACCGATCAGAGCGTTAATTACCCAAAAAGTCTATCGAAAGAGTCCAAAGAAGCATGCAAAGGAGTAAGTCCTAATTCTGTTAACTTGCAATATTTACACCAATAATTCTTTCAACTCTTATAAAACGCAATCATCAAATTTATTATACTATAAAAAACACGGTTGGATTTTGAGGAATTTATTTTCAAATAACTTCTCCCTAAAATTTCTATTAAAATGATAATCAACAAAATGATAATTAATTGCAATATTTGATTGAATTTTGGCAATTGCAGTCGTACTTTTCAGTAGATCTTTCAACGGCTCAAATTTTATAACTGAAATACTGTATACAAAAGCGGAGAAACTTCATTTTATGTTGAGAAATAAGTTTTTCTCTACCCCTTTGGAGCAAGCCTTCTGTAATAATACGTTTTCTCGAATATTATTCGAAACATCTTCAAATCCTCTTCAACAAATTCCCTTTACAAATAGGAAACTTTGCTGTATAATGTGCTCTTTATAAAACGGAAAAGAAATACTAAAAAGAGGAGGCGAAGTATTTACATGATTTTCCCCAGGATAAAAATAAACTCTAAAGCACTGTAAAGACCGAGAAAGCTTCACCGAAATCATTCAATTTAAAACTCCTCGATTTTCATTCTTTCCAGTTCCTGACAAAGAATCCAAATAAAAGATTGGGTTGCGGTAGTCGCGGTGAAGATGATGTACGTGGTCATGCTTTCTTCCGACGCATCGACTGGGACAAAATTGAAAACCGTGAGGTCCAGCCTCCATTCAAGCCAAAAATCGTGAGTAACAAAATCAAAAAGATTTATTGTCTGAGAAACGCGATAGTTTTAATTTGATGCATTTAACTCTCCATTTGTGGTTCAGATCGAAAGGAAAATGTCATGAGTTATAAACTCCAAAAAGTTTCAGAATGAATTTTTCATCAATTTTGTTAATAAAGAAAGATTACTTGTCTGTGACGATAAAAAAAGTATCAGTATTGTGTTAATAATTGATATGTAAAGATATTAATGGAATTTTATTTTCCATTTCAGAAACACAGAAAAGATGTGAGTAATTTCGACAAGCAATTCACATCGGAAAAGACAGACCTAACCCCAACCGACAAACTATTCATGATGAATCTGGATCAAACGGAATTCCTCGGCTTCTCATATTTAAATCCGGAATACATACAACATATTTAAATAATCATAACAATTAGCATTCGAATCTCTCTTCATCTATCGTCAAACGACAAATATCAAATATCAGTCTCCTCCGAATTCCTCTGACTTTTCCGTTCATACCAAGAACCAAAAGACCCTCTGCACCAATGACGAGAATAATCTATACTCCAACATTTGATGGACAAGAATAAGAAAAAGAGGACTCATCTTCTTTCTCGCTCCAAGAAGCTCTCGCAAAATGAGGGTATTTTAATTAATCGTCGTCGACCTATCAAAGCAAAATGACAACCAAAATTTTAAATTTTAAACTTCGTTCCGTGTTACTTATTACTGTGTATACTGACAATTTTAATGTATTTTCGATTATCGGGAGTGAGCGGCACGCATTCGCTCAGCGATTTTATTTTCCTGGATTCAAGTATTCGTGATCCGATTTGAACCTCAGAATTATACACTATAAATCGTAAATTAGGATATTTCAATGAGAAAGATTATGGAATGATGAAATGAAGTGAGAAAAGCAACGCGAGTGGATCGAGAATATATAATATTAATAGGAGGGAAAGAGAACTGTTGGGGATGATGATGTGAGGAGCGTAAAACGAGACAAGTAGGTTTGATGGATTCAATTAAACAAGTAATAAGAGATGTATGAATAAACAGTCTTCGTTTTTCCGCGTATTATGCATTTACTTGGGTAGTTTCTACTGTCGCCTTCCAGAGTTATATACAATATACGTATTACTGAATGAATGAATATACAATTATATTTGCAATTTGTCGTGGACTCGAATGGCAGGTCCACAAAGTAGTTGAATGGGAGAAAAACGTAAGGAAAATGACACTGATTTAATGGTGAAGCCAAGTGTTGGGGCTGCAAATGAATAATGATAAACGAAAGAGTACTCGACTCGGACGAAAGATGGTCGAAGAAGAGCGAGAAAGATCGAGATTGTGAGGGGTAAATAGTCTGACCGATGAGGGGAGAAGGAAGTTAATGAAAAATTCGGAGAAGTGGAATATGCACTAGATTGAAATCACAACAAATGACAACAAATAACTAAAAACTTGAGTGTCTATCACTCAAGGCATGGAATAATTTCAGGTGTGTAAACCCCTCAGGTACGGAATAAAGAATCGAAAAAACATGATAAATAATGTCTTTTGAGTGGGTGGCACCGATGGAAACTATACATTTCGTATTTTTTTAAGCGCGACGTCACGATTGTACATACACCACACACATCAAACACGTAGAGAAAAAACTGCGACAGCAGGTGAAAAGGTGAAAAAAAAATCAAGAGTCATAGAGAATTTATTTAACACTTGATTACACGATTATTTATTCGCTGACGTTGAGGAGTAATTCTCCAACAAAGGGACAGCATAATCAAATTGGCTGTGGACATAAACTCGAGTTGGATGGGACGAGGTTCACGGGGGATTGAATATAACACGTAAAACCCATTAAAAATCATGAAAAAATTACGAGTACAGATGGTGAAATTGATCAATCTGCCAGACGAATAGCTTCGAGACAATTTGGAAAAAAGTAATGAGGTTAATAACCCCGAGGGTTATTTACAATTCTCAATCTTTCCCTCCCCCTCTCTACCTCCAGACCCTCTGTCTAACTCGCTCTTTCGCTTATTAATCTCTATTCTTTTTATACACTAGTGTCCCGACGTTATCATCGGCGTGTAAACTCCACTTTACGAGAGTCTTAAGTATTTTTGATCTTAATTAATTGTTAGTCACTGAAGATAATTCCAAGTTTTCCAATTTTCATGTTAAATATCCATTTATTCATTTACTAACTCAATATATCTGAATTTAAATAGATAAATTCAGTTTTCAGTGATTGTTGATTAATTAAAAATATTAGTACGTAACAATGAGAATTAATGAGAATGGGGGTGAGAGAAAAATATAAATGAATCTCTCGCAATGGGTTTTATCGTCGAGTGCGTCTCATTTTTTCTCTCCCAATAATGGATAATTGATTGATAATAGAATATCGGTACAATAGTTGATTGATAAGTTTCATGAAGATTGTCTATAAGTTGGTAAAAGGTGAAACGCAATTCAGTGATGATGACATTATTCACTCCAGTGAACGATGAAAATAGAGCGTGATAGCTGGAATGTTTTCTCAGATAGGGAATATAAAAATGAAGAGAGAGGCATCTGTTCCGGATTATCATATCTCGAGTACCTTCGTAGTGATCGTAGAGTACGGAATATCGTAGACAAAGTAGGACGATGATTGAGAAATAATTATTGTCGACGTAGTTGACGATAAGAAAATATTTTCCGCCCCTTTTGCCTGATTGTCAGGTGATGGGGGAAAGAAAATACCTGAAAAATCATGTAATGCGTCTCATCGATGCGAGAATTTGTGACGCTGGTCCTTCCCGATGGCTCCCATTCAGATTTAGATGAACAACCTATTTTACCTTATCAGACACCATCACCACAACAACACCACAACTTTCCCGTTAGCTTCTTCTCCTTGGTTACCGCCCATCGTCACTTTCTCGCATCTTGCAATATTATACATCAAATAAAACACATGTGAATCTCCGATGACGCCCACATGAATAAATTTGTTCTATGAAAGCTTCTTGTAAGATTCTATTCTATGAAATCTATTCTTGTATCAATTTCTCCAAGAGTCTTCCGCGTTTATCGCTCGTGCTTGTTAAATTGTCGGATATTTAATATTTGCCTTTGTTCAAGGAGCATTTGTTCTTTTACTCATCGCACTGATCATCGTTAATCATTGGTTAGTTGGTTATTTGTATTTGTTAATTTAATTGCCCTGTTGTCTTCCTCTAATCTCCTCATGCAGAGTAATGTGCAGATTATTTGTCAAGTATTTAAATAAAAGTAATTGAAGCATTACTTATGGTGATTCATGAAATTAGCTCAATTAAGATTTTATGGGATGTTGGTTTTGGAAATGGAAAATTCACTTGATGGAACTGATGAAGGGTTTACTCACTGCGTGTCCCAGCGATTTCGTCCAAATCATGAGATTCCATGACTAATAATAATAAATTTTCGTGAAATCTTGTGGGTCAAATAAGTTGAGGTCAATATAATGGGCCAAATCCTGTGGGTTAATTACGGAGTGAGTAGTCTCTGTTACAATCATCAAAATCGCCACGAGATATTATAGTTTGTACGGGGAAATCAACAAAAATTATATGTAAGTATAATATTTATTGTGAGCTCATGTTATCGGGGGTGACCAGCGTCTTCTTATGCGTTGAATTTATTTATTCATCCCGATAAAGCAAAATGACAAAGTGCATCACTCGTTGATGACTAGTAAACTAGTAAACGTTATTCGTGAGAAACCGAAGAGTATAAGTAGTTATGCAATACATAAATACGGATTATTTCAAGTCGCGTAGCTCTCCTTTCCAAGTTGTATCTATCGCTCTCTTATGGCGTATTGTATATGCATATATACATACACAAACATATATTTTTAAGATGTTTTTGTGCATTTATAATGTCGTAATAAAAGTTCCAGATCGTGTCATGACAATCAATTTATTCATTGGAGAATGCCTTCATTCCATTTGTCTCAAGAGTATTATTCATTGAATTATTTTTGTATCATTAAATGGAATTGAAATCGATAAAGTGGAAGGTCCATAATATTATTCAGCGATACAGTGCTCAATTCATTGACGTGTTACTGAGGAATTTTATGGTTATCTACAATTACTAAAATGATACATCTATTTCTTCGTCTCTTTGCAGAACAGTTGATGATACTTTTCTGAATACATAATATCTTGGCAGATCATTACTAAAAATCATCATTCAGTCTTCATTCCACTTTTCATTACAGCAGATTTATATTATTCACAACTGTTGGACAATGTTCATTAGTGACAGAATTTTACACTGCGGCTTGACGGAGGGCGTCGCATGCTGATCCCTGGCGGATGCACGAAGCGTATGCCAGGAAATGGGGAATACTACTTTGTTCAATGGTACCAGTAAAAAGATGAGACCAAGGTCCACTCGCGAATATCGCGACATCATCGCCACCGTGAGTCTCTAATTCAAGAGGAACTGTTCCAGGATAAATGTATTTCATGTCCGCTAAAAAAAAATATAACACAATTTTCGATTTTTCAAATGATTAATAAAAAATCAGAATTATTATTACAAAAAATGAATTACTTAAGTTAATACTTAATATCTTGGCAAATTGGTAGTCAAAATCGCTACTGAGTCTGCATTCCACTATTTGTTTTATAGATTTCTATTATTCATAACTTTGGATCGCGTGTTTGTTCATTAGATCGATTCCCTCGGGGTATTGATCCTCAGTAGCTGTTGGGTTGAATACTTTGGAGGACAATTAACAAAAACTACTTACCAATATTATCGTTATCGATATTGTGTCGAACCCCGGCGATGGTGGTCTTGTAACCAGGTCCATTAGCATAACTAAGGGTCAGGTATCCCAATTTATCAGACCCAAGGTGTGTGCTTTTGCCCGCAATTGGATTACCCCTCTGAGAATATCCGGCAATACTCATAGTGTGTGCATGATCAGCAGTAACGATGATAAGTGTGTCGTCACTCGACGTTAGTTCACGTCCCTTTTTGACGGCCTTCACAAGCTCCAGAGTCTCATCTAGGGCCACCTTGGCCCATGCTGCATGATGAGCATGATCGATTCGGCCACCTATTGATGAGAGGATCATCCAGCTTACCACAAATTATGACGGAATAAATGATAATAATCATTTCAATAAATATAACAACGCCAGACAAATCGTACCTTCAACAAAAAGGACGAATCCCTTCGAATTCCTTCTTAGGACCTTAACAGCAGCTTCTGTCATTTCCGCAAGCGTTGGATCGGCCTCCGGAGATGATTCAAAGTGAAAAGGGCAATGGGTGTCCTGATAAAGCCCTAGGACATACTCATACCTCTCAGGATGTGAAATTATGTCCAAAACACTGGTCCTGTTCCAGGAGTATAAGTGCGTCTTTCCGCGCCAGTTCTTATCCCTTTTCCATTCATCGATGAGATTTCTTCCGTCAGTCCTTGCTCCCCTAGTTCCCTCTTCATCGACACTCTTCTTTCCCAAGAAAGCCCGCCTGCCACCGCCCATTATCACCTGGAAGTTCTTCCCGGGCTCCTGAGTTATGAGCTGAGCTGCGATGTCCATGCACTCCCTAGGATTTGCCTTTCCTTTGATGACATCTGTATCACTCTCCCAATCTCGATCAGCCACGTGAGCATAACCACCGCCTGGTGACGCGTGTGTGACACGAGTTGTTGTGACGATTCCAGCGGATTTTCCAAATTTTGTGGCCCATTGGAGAATTGAACTGACATGATTTGTCCTGTTCTGCTGACTTTTGCAGTCCCCTCGAATCACGTGACCATTTACTCCTAGGGTACCATGATTCGATTTGACACCTGACATGTAGGCAGTACTGGTGCACGCAGAGTCCGCGATTTGTTGATCCAAACACCAGGTCTAATTACGAAAATCCCAAAATTACTTTCCTTTTATTTTCCAAAATTATTGTTTTATATTATCCTATTATTTATATTATTTCATCCGTTACGGTCAACGTCTCATTAATACCACCTGAGACCGAGTCCGGGCACTGTTATATCTCGATTGGATATATCTGAATGGCGTTTAGTCACTTCTTGGACACAATTCAAGATCTTTCTGACAAATTTTCCGCACAATTTATGTTGAATTATTGAAAAATTAATTTTAATTAATGGTTCCAGTCATTGCACAATGTCCCCATTTACGCTACCTCTGTCCCCATTAATATCATAGGATAGTTCAATCATGTCCAATTATTAGAAAATCATTAAAACATAAGATGTTTATTAAAGTATAAGAAGGTTCTTCATTACAGCAATGAATAAATACACTTCCTTGGAATTCTCCTCCGTGAAGCGGTTCCCCCGAACACAAGGGTCCGTTCGACTGTGTCAATTATTGCCACTCATATTTTTACGTTGGAAATTGCATTTAATTTATATTGAAGGTTCTTATTACTAAAATATATAAGTAATAACTGGTGTAGATCATTTTTAAGCATTTTAATACTTACATTTTACAAATAGAACAAAAAACGAAAACCATCGCTTCGACCTCCCGCAGAGGAGCCACACTAATTTTCGTAAGTTCAGCGCCCCTGAGAGTTTTTATAATTTAATCAAATATACTTCCCAAGCTCAACAACGTATGATTTTCAGCAACAGAGAGCAGGAAACAACACTCTAGAGATTGCTGCGAAGCATTTCCCGATACGAAGATTTTAAGATTTTTTTTATAAAGTTAAAACTCTACCGAAAGTGACATTAATTTGAATGCTGACGGTTGTTTAACAAAACACAGGTCACTTTCTGTTAACAAATCTATATTTTCGAATAGATTTATGCTCCAGATCTTGGTTAATTGCGTTATTGTTGAATATTTGGACATACAGCATTGTCAGCGTGACACTTGCCAGAGTAACTGGATTATGTTGACCGAGTAATGATAAGTAATGACATATAATCAATGTATTTAAGAAGCCATTTGCAGATATGCAGAAGGCAGATCCAAAACGGAATCCGAACATAATAATAATTAATCATTACGGGACTAATTATTAATTATTATTACATGACATGGTTAAAGTGAGAAATTCTCAAATTCAAATACCGAAAAACTCTTGGGATTTGTCACTTCAAGCCTAGAACCTACAGTAATTATAAGTACCCCCCACGCAGGGTATAATAATAGTGTTATCGATAAGTAGATGCTTGAGAATCACTCACCTTTGCTAAACCGGTAAACGGGAAAGTTTCCCAATAGAGTTCTCCCTCCTCTCCAGGTTTTCCCATCAACTGCCCTTGATAGGTTCTAGCGGCCATCAGGGTTGGGATTGACATGCCGTCACCGAGGAATATTATCACATTCTTGGCCTCATTGAGGTTTAATTTTTTGTTGATCTGGCGTTGAAGGGATTTATTTGCCTCGTCCAGCCAATAACTTGTGTCTGAAATAGATGGTATACATTTTCATACATTTTTTCGTGGCGGATAAATTGTTACGATCGATGGACATTTTGAGATTAGATTAATCATCGCGAAACAAAAACATGTCGACAGTATTGATATCACGTTTACAGAGCACGTGTTTTCTGTAATCTCACCTGCCTCGAGATTGGGTTTTGACCTGTAGTTTTTCGTTTTCAGCCGAAGGTCCGGATGCATCTGCTGATCTATCTGTTCTTCTAAATAAAAAAAAATCACCAAAAAATCAATTATTATCACTTGAATTCAATAGAGAAATGATCAAGCAAAGCAATTCTTTTTTTTTTAGTTTCGTTGAATATCGATTTATATAAAAGTATCGATTTTTGAAGAAAACTCATTTTCACTCTTTAGAATTCATTTGATTAATCAATTAATTGAACTGGCTGATTCAATTAATGTAATTTTGAATGAACTCATTCAATTGAGAAAAAAAAAATCGAGAAAATGTGGTCTTATTTCCACATTGAATCGGTACTTTTCGAGATAAATTAATAATTAAGATTATTAATTTGCAATGGGCGACTGAAATGATGAGTGAACAAAAACCTTCAAGTCTTCTCGCTTTAATTGCCTCTGAATTACGTTCTGGTATCGCCAGGGCGACATGAAACCCCAGAAGGGTGAGACAGAGGATCGATCTCATGATGGAGAAATAAAAATCCATCAATTCAACTACGTAATTGCCAACGCGATGTTGGGTACTTGCGGTCTGGTCGTCTTCTCGGCTGATTAAATAGTAACTTCCACCCCCATCCGACCGCTCATTATCGTCGAATCGAGATCAGTCTTGAAAGAATGAGATAACATCACACAATTTCATGCTCAAGATATTTTTTCATACGTCTCCCACCTTTCAATTCAGTGCAAAGAGGGGATTTCCTTTTTTTTTTCATCAACACACATTTGAATCAAGAAATTTGTACATTGATAATTTTGTTTTAACAGCATTTTTTCCAGGTTTGTTGAACTTTTCGGTTTAGTTTTTCCAATTGAACGGATATATTGTTTCGATAAAATGCTCATTAAACAATGAGATTCCATAAATAATTTACTGGTGAAAGTGTCCGATTTGTTCTCAATATTTTTCCTTATGTACTTGTCAGCTCATTTGATTTAAGACTGATTCAAGCTCGTGGAATAATCAATTAATTCTTTCCTCAGGATAAATTTCAGGTATTTTCCCTGGTAAAACAATTCATCAAACTTTTAAATTTAGAATTTTCCTTAACTGACGATTTACCGAATCTCCACTGAGATAACGAAATTACTTCTGCAAATTAAATTTATTCACCATCAATATATGAAAAACATGAAGATTTGGAAAAAATACATTTCAAAATGTCAAACCAGTAAAAATTCTAGTATTCAGTAAAAAAAAATGACAGCTTATGAATATAAATCTTTTTATTCTCTTAATTCTTTTACAAAAAACACGAAGAATTGGCTACTTGCTTTGGACTATACGGTATAGACTGTTCATTTGTCTATTTTTCATTAAAAAACCATAAGCTACGACAAGGCTGCGTGCACAGGAATGTGTTCCAAACGATTGGAATCCTCAAGCGATAGCAGTCATTCAGAACTCATTCCAGCGATTTGTTAATGAACAATTTTCCCCGAACATTGATATAAAAAAGGCGACATGATACGAATAACCACAGATGAACGAGAGACCACTGATTTAGTCGGGAGAGGATAACATTTGCTACACTTCATCATCTACATAATATTTACAATTTCTTATTAATCCTAGGATTCTTCAAAGTATTACCTACAATTTGGAGACTATTATACGTTAATTATCTACATAGCATTCGATTTTCGCTCGTTTTCACTTCCAGAATCTTCACTATTTGACACGTCTTCGGATGGGGATCACACTCTAAAAAAAGATTGCATTATTGGACCGGAAATTAGCAAACATACTACTAAAAATTAAACTATTATTTTCGTCAGAATTTTCTCACTCCTCAAAAGTTTAAGAATATTTCTAAGGAATTTATGAAAAATCGCAGGCAATATTTTGAATGTCGTCTTCAGCTGTTTTCTAACTTCTGAAAAGCACAAGATACACTTCCGAAGAGTGTTTAAATTGACCGATGGCAAGTGTTTAATAACACTCATAAAAATAAAGATTGTTACATAATTTTAACAAAAATACTTGGTCCCACGATTTTTCTGGTGTATCATCAATAATTCAGTGGAATTCACGTTTTTTATTTACATTTTCAATAGGTAATTGGAGTAATCATTTTTTAGAGTGCAATTATTTTATCATTATGTTACGATTAAAAACGCGTCGAGTTATACACTGGGATGTAGATGCTACGCCGCGAGCCTGCTCATCGGCCGAAATACTGCATGGTGCTCTGATATATTCGGGAAATTAGAAAAAAGGGTTAAATAATATTAAAGTAGTGGAAAAATTCATCAGTCGAGTGGAGCAGACACTATTGCACTTGAATTTATAGGATCGCAGAGAGAAAACGTTTAATCTCCTTCATGTGATTCTCAATTCTGAAAAGATTCTGTCCTCAAGACAAAAAATTTCTAATAAAACTTTTTCGATTACTTTTCCAAAATTTTAATGCATAATGCAATCAAAAGAGTGGATTGAAGTTTAATGTTTAAAGTTTATGTTGAATTAAACGTAAAACTTAAATTACAATTATTATTTGAGAAAAGAGTTTAGGATCAGGAAAAAAGGTTCTGTCTCGTGAATACAAAATCTTTTCTTTGACCGTCAATAAATTTTTTATAGCACCGGCAAACCTTTTCCCTCTATGATTGATTACGAAACACAAGAGATTGTGATGACTAATATTAGATACGCATTTTTTTATTCTAAAAATAGAGAAAATCGGAGAACGAGGTAATTAAAAGCAATTTTCAATAAATCATCATTTTGTTGTTAGCAATCGAGATAAAAAAGCGTATCGCATATTTTTTAATTCAGCAATGGAAGAATCCACGAGAGACGATGAACGAATAAAATGACAATGACTGATAAAAATTTTTAATGAAAGATTGAATGGACTGAAATTTGCGACACGTTAACTCAACTGTTGAATTTTTAAAAAAAGAATCGATTATCTTTCTTCGAGGCCCCCCTCATCAATTTAAGAAGAATAATCAGAAGTTATCAATTTGCATCAATTGTTGATGATATAAATAACAATATTCACCAAAAATCCTGATTGATAAAATAATATGAAAAATTTGACAGCAGATTAGTATCGGATTAATGATTGCAGTCGTTAAACAATTGGAAAAAAATTTCTCAAATCTGTTTTCCACCCTCTGCTCGTCGTTTTTTTTCGGCCCGAAGAGCTCCATTCACCATTAATGCGTATAAAACACGAAGCGATGACTAGTAAAAAATAACTCCGAAGCACGATATCGTCACTCACATACACTGAACAGAGTATAAACAATGAAATATTAAATTAAAAAACATACTTTCGAGAGTTTCATCTTCAGTTATGTACAAAAATGATTAAAAACAATACGAGGGCTGGGTCAGGGATGCCGCCTTATGTTGGCGAGAGCTGTTGTGTCCCAGATGGTACGACATCTTGTGGATTTCCTCCAGTGAGGAAGTTGGATACCCAGTCTCTGGCACTCGTGGACATATGCCACGAATGATTCGCAGTAGCAATTGTCCGTTGGACATTCGCACATATCTTGGAGGCAGGACTTGTAGTACATCGTTGGATTGACTTTTTTGTGGCAGGGATCGAATATTTGAGATCGCAATCTATTGCACAATCTGTAACAAGAGCTTATTTTCTTATTCATTGACATTCAATTAATTCAATTGATTAATCACTCATTATCGGATACATCCAAAAAATGCAGGTGATCAATAACAAATCTATAACACTATATTCAATATATTCATTCTATCATGAAAGTATAACAAACACGTTGAGTTCAGTGAATAAATACTTCATTTATTTGGGAATAATTTCACTTGTAATGTAATTCCGTATGCAATATGAGCCAATTCCACTGGTAATTTAATAATTGATCAATTTTTCACTTAAAGTAATAATAGATTATTTTTTGTTTTGTGCAAAAATGAATAATTTTTTAATAATATATATAGATGTTTATTTTGTATTTGAAAGAATTTGAGTATTATAGTTAAGAAATAAAATGATTTTCATAAGCTATGCGGCGAAAAACAGGATTTCGTTGAAGTTGGATTTTTTGAAAGGGAAGAGATGAGATAGATGAGTTAACGAAAATAAAAATTGCGAGAAATGTATGATGTACCTGTGATCTTTTTTCCCCTTGCATCGTCTCTCTCGATCAATATTAATTGGTTTGATCCTGGTGCATATTTTCTTGGAGCCAACTGCCCAACTCTGTCCAAAGGAATAAGGATCCGGCAGCAATTTTCCTTTCCTCGTGGTAAAGTCATCCTTGGGTAGGGAATTGAAATTACCACAGAGGCCACAGAGTCGTCCCCGATAGGACGTTGGTGCTGATACCTCGATGAAACTAATGCCATCCCACAACACTTTAATGCCAATTTGCGTTGTGACGAGGATACTGTCAGCGGTTCGATTGATCTCCAGTCTGTTTGGCACTCGATAAGGCACTTCAATCCTCATTCCATTCACTTTTACCCTCATTCTCTGACCAAGATTGACTTTCAGATCACCCACCTGTTTCAACAATAGACAAATAAACACTATACGTGAAATTATATTGATGACTTTTAAACGACGACAGCATGAAAATATATTATTTTCATTGCGTATTCAATGGGTTTAGCTAACCTTGAGGGCAATTGTCTTGGTCCATGCCGATGACCTCGTTGATCTGGCGTCATTTGTCACTCTTATGCTGAATGTGTGACCCAGACAATCGCTCACCAGTTGATACTTGCAGGCACCTTTGAAACTGAAGAATTTACCGTCAAATGTGCGGTAATGGGGATCACCGAATACCGTGCAAACTCCATCACCTGAGGTAATAAATCATCCAATCAACATCTAGAGAGTCTCATCATTTTCTTCTCAAGGAACTTCTGGTACACTGAGGAAAAAATTTATTTTTCTCAAGTATATCTCCATTTCATTAAGAATTTTGGCTATTGATTGTTATCGTGCCTCAGATTCTTCGGCAATTTTCCAAAAATTGCAGTACATCTTGTGATTGAAAATTCAACAATATATTATGTTCTTGAATTTTAAGGAAAGCGTATTAACTGAAAGAAGTACTAAAATTTCAGGCTTTACTGGAAATTCAATTCAATTGAGGAATTCTCTCTTCATGATCTCAACAACTGAAGTGTCATTCATTGTTAAAAATCCTAACTGATTTTTCTATAGAAAAATCATAATTTTTGGCAAGTCACTCCGAGTAATTTTTTGATAATGCACTTACTCTCAACACAACGGGGACAGCACTGGCCTTCAGGATGCTCCAACCTTGAATTAGGAGGACAAGGAATGTTGAGTGGTGGACACATTGGCATGGCACACCTAACTTTGCCTTGTACGCACGCACACGCCTTGCAGGGATCAAGTTTCCAAGATTCGCCATCCTGCCTAGGAGAAATTAGAACGTTTAAACCAACTACCAAAAGCCATGAACCCAAATGGAAGTCACGACCACATCAATTCGTGATAGGTCGCTGTGGAGTCATGAAATGGTGGAGATGTAGACACCGTAAGATCATTCATTTATATCACTACGAGGCTATTTCTACGTTTCCATCGAAGCTCGTCTAAACCTTCACGAATCGTTCATTTTGTTGCCAACAATATCAATAACTCATGAAAATCCATTAAACATTCGCATACTGAAAATAAAAATAAAAATAAAAATAAGAAGATACTCGCCCCGTAAGTTCTTCCGCCATAAGTACAGGAGGCTGGACTCTCTTCAACAAGTGGACACTGGGGACAACATCTTCCTGGCAATGTTGTCTGATGCTCGCTGGTGCACTCGAGAACAGGACACGTCTCTTTTATACAGGCAATAGCTGAATTTGTGCACGAGCATTTTGTGCAGTGATCCACATAGAATTGAGAGCCAGAGTGATAGACTGCTGTACCCAGCATGCAACCGCCCTTCGGAGGTGAAAGGAATTCCCTATTTTTTCCTGAAATTAAGACTCCCATTAGCTGAATCGTTCAACATCCTTCGTTTCAATCTCGATTGGATAGACAGAGACTGAAAAAAGGTTCGAGGCTATTCCCGAGGGGAGGATACCTTTGCAATGAGGACAGCACTCTCCTGCCTCGTGTACAATACTTGAAGGAGGACAATGAAGGACCGGACAGGCGTGTTTAGCGCAGGTGAGACGTCCGGAATTGCATCTGCAGGTGACGCAGGGATCTTCAGTGGTGGTGACAGATCTGTCTGCAGTGACCTTCTGTCCGTTCACGTAGCATCCGATGCAAACAGGACAACACTGACCCGGCGGCGCCGGAATTGGTTTGGGACAGGGTGTGTAGCACCGCAATTTTGATTCGGTGATTACACCCGCCCTGCAGGTGATTATTCTACAAGGATCACTGGGATCCGTCCATTCAGTACCTGATTCATGATCTATTCCGTTTCGAGTGCAACCTGAAAGGCATCATCATTTTATTTACACGCATCTTGCTTGAATCATCAATTTTAATCCACATAATTTGACCCATTACTTCCTGAAATCAGTACATGATTTTAACTGTATTTCACCCACTAAATGTGTCCCGTAGAATTTGACCCCACGATGTCATCCTCTTTTGTTTTGTATGGTTATTTAACATCGCTTGGACTCTGGTAGAGTGAAAGGCGATGGTGATCAAGACTTTAATTGGTTAGATCTCACCATTCTACCCGGCCAGGAATCGAACCTGGAACCTATCCGTTATGAGGCAGCGACCTTAACCACTACGCCAGTCCAGCGGGTTGATATCATTCTTGATATCTTGATTCTTGATCAGGGATATTTGACTCACGCCGATTGTCCAAAATCATGAAATCTTTCGATTTGGTCAAATGTTGTGGGCAAAATGCTAAGACTTGATTCATGGGACTCAACCATCTCATCAAAATGGTCCACAGATCAGAATATCCGAGACTATCCATTAAGAAATGAAAAATAAATTGTAATTGTTCGATCAATCGATCTATCTGTTGCACACATATAAGTCCGTGAGAATTCTCTCGATCATTGTTCACCCTACTCGAGCACAAAGGCGGTCACTGTTGTTATCCCTTCCCCCACATCCATCGCAATTAACTGTCTCACTCTGGCATGGGCTCGGAGTGCATTAAAAAACAACGACTGAATGAAGAAAAAAATGACAATGACGAAAAAAATAGAAATAAAAAACAACCGATAAACCGCGTGAATGCAAAACGCGATTGTTTATTTCGCCGCTGACAGATGTTCCAGTCTCTCTGGACTCTATGGCGACGGTTATCGTTGACTATTAATTATGTTAATTGCGGTGGCAAGATTTATGGGACATGAATGGGTCCCAACCACCATGCGAAAAAGAGTTTCACGCTGCGACTGTTACGTCACAATGATTTTTCAATCTATTTTCCATTCTTCGAGCCATCGATTATCGTCTATCGTTTTGGTTTATCCTCGTCTGTCACCCACGTGGCAGAAAAACATTGTTACGTGTTTATCAGTTATTCTCATCAGTGGTAATAAATTTCGATGAATTAATTAGTCGATTTTTATCTGATTTGCGTAGCTCATTTATTATAGTGTCCCATTGGATTTTCAATTCGTTTCGATTAAGCGACACCATGACTTCAAAATTGAGAGTTTTTTTAAATTGCCCGATAGTAGTGACGATAACAAAATAATAATAATGTCATGGTGTCTTAATGTTGTTAGATTTGAATAATTTTTTGAAACTCTTACCAAAAACCGAGCGGAATATAATGTAATTTTTCTAAAGAATATTCGTCGTCTACAAGTCATTAGTGAATATCACGAAATTTTGCAATGAAATTATAATTATACGTACCCCTACATCGATCACAGCATTCATCGTCTCTCGCTTTTAAAAGGGTGTAACATCCTTCAATACTCGGACATTGCTGCTGCATACACTCCACAAAACCATTCTGAAATAAAAAAAAATATTATTATATTCTATGTAATGCTTTAAAAAGTAATTCCAATTTTATTTATACAATTTTCAATCCGCAAACTTGTTTCTAACATTGAGCCTTTTTATGGGGTATTAAATTTATTTATTCCCTCGGATTGGCATTTTGACATCTGTAATAGAAAATATTATGAGAATCCAGAAGTAAATACCATAAAAAAAGCTCCTCGAGGTCAAAACACTAAATAATCCTCAACGTTGAACGAGTGAAATATTATTCCGCGATATATCATTATGTCTTTTATTTTATTTAATCTCAATGCATCCCAGTTTGTAGAGCACCTCGATGAACTTACTTCCTCCATAATAGTCGAGTCACTTTTCTTATTCTCTTTTTCTCGCTGCATTAACCACATTTTCGCAGCTTTTTTTCCTTGCAAGTCTAGTCTCGATGTTTACGAGGGAAATAAGACGACTGAATTATAGCGGGTATTATCCGGAATTTATTTTAGCGGTGTCCATGTTAATTCATTTTGATTAATGGCAGGTGAATCATTAATTAGAGAACAAGTTGAACTTCACGGGATGACTGTTTTATTCAGTTTTTATTCAACGCGGGGAAAGATTAGCTAAACGTTTTCCCTCTAGACAGAGTCATATTTAATATATTTTACATGAATAATGTGGGTATCTGATTATTATGAAAATCCTACCACTTGAATGAGGGATTGTTTAAGAATTGAAAGTAATGAAACTGTAAAAAACAAGTTTTGATAGAGTTTTTAGAGACATTAATTGATTAATTGATTGAAAACTTTGTGTATATTCCTCTGAAATGAAGCTTCAGAGAAATAAACAAATACAATAAAATAGTATGAGAATGATTATATGTTTGAGAAATTATCGCCAATTATTGAACGTTTTGAAAATGAAATGATTTTGCCTTGCGGGAAATTTTTATGTAAAAATGTATCCACTTTCAAATGCATGAGGAACTTTAATTATTATTTGGTCTTTATGAACTTTTTGCATTGTCGAGAGTCTAATGCTTCAGGAAAATGTGCATTTCTTTGAATGAATTGATTTCTATTCATGATTAACTCGCGGTTTTGTCACTGATTGCAACGTTTCGCATGATATTTTCATTTCATTAAAAACATTTACCGCAGCCTCTGAGGTTCATTAAAAAATATTCCCAACTAAAATGCATAAAAACATTTGACGACTCAATTGAATAAGTTTAACAATGATAAATAATTCCTCAGGAAAGTGTTCACAATACAAATTAAGGAAAAAAACTCTAGACAAAATAAAATGCTTGCGTGATGTTACGACTGTTAATGAAAAAAAAAAAAAATCATGCGGTGTTCACCACCTGAGGAATTCGTAATCATCTTCGCGAAGGAGAAGACAAAGAATGAGAAGAGGAAAGGCTTCTCGGGGTGATTTCTTGCTCGTCAAAGACTCTTCCTTAATTATCGACTCGCGCCAAGAGGCAAGAAGAGGTTGAGGATGCGATGCGAAAAGTCGAGGGTATCACACTTATTTTAGTTTTATTTTCCTCGAGGTTTTTCTCGAGACTCGGGAAAAATGGAGAAAATGGGTGCACGCGTACTTTTGCCACGTGATCACGTCGTGTCTCAACTGCCATGAGATTAATATTCGTGTAGACGTGAGTGAAATGCATGTGGAGAAAGAAGTGAGAGAAGCGCGTGAAAAAAAAATAAGAAATGACATAACTTCATGCGGTTTGACCCACGTCGGTCGAGTTGTGATTATTCTTATTTTGAGACAGTGATTTGATTCGCATGATTGGGGACGATGGAAATGAAGATTTTATCCTAAGCTTTTTTCCCTTTGGAGCTTTATCGTCAGCCGTGGCAGCAATTCATTTTTTTATTTAATTATTACATGAAAAAATCTAAGTTTTGTTAATCGAATTTTTTCATCAAACGCGACAGTTGATTCGGTATATATTGACCTCTTAGATGATAATAAAACCGTCAGAAACGAGAAAAATATTAGAACAACGATTTTTTATCCACCACATCCCTTGAGGGGCCGACGATCTAGGATCTTTGGGGTGACGAGTAACTTTATATTGAAATCAAATTTCGTCATCAACTGACAGTTGATTTCACATATATTCGCGTCACCGACCATCAAACTCTCAAAAAAATTGAAAGACATGAGAATAAAAAATGTATTATTCCACCTCGGTCTCACTAGGGGTCCAATCTAGGATATTTGGAAGAGGAAAGTGTTTTCCTCTTAAAATAGAATTTCTTCATCAACCTCCTGTTCATTTGCCATGTATTCAAAAACGAGTAAAATTGGAAAACAATTCTTTTTCCACTATACTCGAGTGAAAAAACGTGAAATCAACAAATGATTAATGAAAAAAATCGATTCTGAAGGAATAAATGATGGGCGTGACGCTGAGTCATCCCACGCGCCAGTCATCGAAATCAATCAGTAACGATAAAATCCTACGAGTTAAATTGGATTGGAGTGGACCAAATACAATAGGACCTCTTACAGATGAGCTCTCGCAGATAAAATAAAAACTAGAATCCCATCAACCGGCAACATCTGACTGGTCGATTGGTCGAAATCAATCGGTTGCCGTGAATCCGCGAATTCCATCCGCCTCCACCGTAATTTCAAATTGATTTAATCAAGGAGTGGTAGCAAAACAATAAAATGAGAAGAAAGAAGAATAAATAATAAGACAACAGCCGTCGCCTACTTATCTGACCCAGCTTGGTTCATTGACTCGTCACGTTTGCAATCTCATCACGAAGAAGGGGATATAATGGTGAACTCTCAGTTCAATTATGCTGTATGTAAGAAAACATTGGAAAGTACAACCACTGGCTGATGATCTGTTGTTTTTCCCGCTCCCAACTGGCAAACCCCCGCCGCTGTGACATAATTATTTGTTTATTATTAAACCTCAACCGAGGGATCAAGCGGACGACGATCTTCGGACGCGATCGATCATAAAATGAGGGAGGGAGTGTGCCACAACAACGGATCGGCTTTCACATTATTTATGGTGTTAAAAATTATTTACAATGTCGAGCGATCCACTCACTCGTTCAAAATTACACAGGGAGAGATTCCCTTCTTAAACAATCATCAAATTTTCATCGTATTTTTGCATATCTGGGCATTTTTTTAAAAAAGTGTAGAAACCCCACAATCCCGGTGAATTCCTCTCTTCTAAGAAGCCAATTAATACTTGAACCAAATCAATTTACTTCTGTCAAGTGAATGTAAAATGCCAACAAATTTTAATGTCAATTTTAATGTAAATTTTATGAAAAATCAGTCTTTTTCCGATTGTGCATCAATGAAACGTGAAGGAAGGATAAATTTTCTGGGTTAGGAGATTTCCTGTGGATGTGCTTTGTTGCGATTATTCTTTCAATCTAATGCCAAATTCACTTCCGCCTGACTCGTCTCAAAGTTAATTCTAGTCCAAGGACTGGATGGCACCTACACTTTGTTCTTTCTTTTTTGCTGAAGCTATGTTTGAATAGAACGGATGACACACTGGGTATACCCCGTGATCACCCTGGCCCTCAGACTCAAGTTATTTATACGCGGATCAAGTGGTTTGCAGATAATGAATTTCGCATTAGACCGCGTCATCGTCCAGTAAATATCGTCATAGCAGTTTTTGCAGAATCATTTTAGTTCAAATATTTAGTTACGCCAGTTGAATCCTAATCCAATTCACGACGTTCCAAACTAGTACAGCAAAGAATTTCAATTTCAGAGTCTTTCAACCAATAATTTAACAGAAAACAACCACCTCAACTCAATTAATTGCAACAAATGATGAAATTTAAGATTCAGAGAAAATTCAGAGAATTTTCACCAATGTTCATAATTAATTTTCATCATTTCAAGTAAAAAAATTTGGAAAATTCCCTGAAGATTCAAATCAATGCATTAAACGCAATGATTCCCCAGATGATGAGTGCAGTGAAATAATTGTTCTGATCAAATACTTAAAGCTATCGGTTGATTTATAGTACGATGACTTGGGTATCACCGGGCGAATAGCTAATTAAGAAAATCGTAAATCAGGAGGTGGATGTAATTAAAACATGGGTATTGACTCTTGGTGGAGAGTCGAGGGGATTGATCGAAGTTGAGATAATTGAACGGTTTAATCAGTGGAAAAATCCAAATATTGCATTCAGGTTTGAGTTATGCTTCGACGGTGATTTATCGAACTATCATTCAATTAATTCCATTGATTCATTGCGAAGTTAATACACGGGCTAATCGAACACATCATTTTTCTTCAATTATTTTACAATTATTACAGTAATATTGGAAACGGTGGATTTACCTTGCAGATGCAGTTGAAGCATTTCGTGTTGACTCTCGGTATTTTGTCGACGGTGAAATCCTCTCCCTCGACGTCACAGGTCTCGCGACTACCTGAAATCATTGATAACTCTGATTGATTGATTGATTAATCTAATCGATTGATTGGGAGTTGAGAACAGTAGGACGGAGCGAGCTGAGAGGCGAGCAATTGTCGAAGCACGTGTTGTCTTAATGCTCGACTTAACCTTTTATCATTATCTCTCGGATAAAACTATCAGTAATTGAATAAGCCTCGAATATTTGATACTTCAGATGTGGGTTACACCGGGTTGTCCGGTTACCGTCCGAAAATACCCCGAAATTCGTACTTCATGAGAAATAACAGGCATTAATCCCCAGGAAAATGCAGGCATTATTCCCTCTCTCGGATGCGAGATGAAGTCACGGTTCAAAATGAAAAACTTCAGTGGGTTAAACCTAGTGTATTTTTTTTATTTCATTCTGGTTGATTTCTCTACTTTACTCAATTTCTTTGATCATTGCAATTCAAGTTAATTTTTCAACTCGATTCAGGCCCACTTTTCAACATGAATCAAGTCGACTTGTTAAGTAGATTCTTCACATCAATTTTTTGGTTTTAGTCGTTTGGTTTTCGTAAATGGAACAGAATAAGTCCTTTCCGTTCGACTAAAGCTACACTAAAAAAAAAAAGATTCTTTCCAAGTATCCATTAATTTCTCAATCTGGTTAATCCTCCAGAAATCCCGATTATGCTTTAATTATCATCACGATGCTCATGAATTCTGAATTTTTGTGAGAGAAGAATATAATCGATAATCGAATTCCCCAATGTTACTAACTATTAAGATATTTCATTCACGTTCGTAATTAATACGATAATTTTGTAGAGCATAATAAGTGTAATCATTGAAACCTAATGAGAAATTCCAGGGAATTACTCGAGGGGTAAAAACGATATTGAAGATGTAAATAGTTTTCCGAAGCATGCGAATATCTTGGAAAAATAATTTCCCTCCGAGTGCAGATAGAAATGATAAGTCATAACCTTTATCACCCCGATATTCAGTGGCATCGGCTGATGATTCATACTTTCAACTTCTCATTAAAATCTCACAATATTTATGGCACGTACTGAAGAATTCGAGTGTTTTGTCATAACAGGAGGAAGGGGTTATCATGGAATTTCAGGTAGTGGCACTAGTTAGTTAAAATGTGCCGGGTCAGTGACAAATATCTCGACCTCAGTTGAACCGAGGGTGCGCGCCTACGCCGATGTAAGGTTATCGTCGAGTGGTCAAAATCTGTCCATTTCATGGTGACGAAAAAAAAGGCATGAAAACATTACCATAGGAATCTCAGTTTATCCTCATTTTATTTTTCTCGAATTGACTTTATCACCGGGACCGAGAGAGCAGTTTAAACCTTGCGAACAAGGCAAGGCCACGGCTGACACGATATTTCGCGTTTTATCAGGCATATACAACACTCGAGTGCCTCTAGAGGATTTTAATAGGCACGATCATATGGTGTGCTGCCCATAATTCCGTAATAATTTATCCAAACATTAAAATGATTCAAATGAGTACAAAGAATGCGGGAAGAAGTTGTGGAATTTCAAATGCCCCCCGGCAAAACTAATGAAAATCCACCGGATTAACTCAATTAATTACCGTCAACGACCAACTCTATTTCAATTAAACTAGCGAATTAATGATTCAATCAGAGAGGCTGATCGTGAGTTAATTACTATTTATATTATGAATTTATTGAGAGCGAATGCAAACAACTTTCTTATCTTAAGTACTGTAAAAAGAAAATAATTGATTTGGTTGGTGTTCAAATGAGGAGATGATTAATTCGTCTATTAAAAGTTAAGTTGGAACGGCGAGGAGGATTCGAATCAAAACATTCGTGATTAAATATAGGGAAGAATGAGAGGTAATCGGGCATTCACTTCTTGTAATCCTGTCTGATCTCTAAACAAGTACAAGTGTGTGAGATAGTTCAGATTGAGGATGCGGAAATCCCATGGGTTGTGTTTTCTATCATTTATATTATCTATTCAATGATATCTGACCCAATTAAAATATGTCTCCATTTAAATCTCAAGGGAAGGCAACTTAAGCTGGATACTCTTTCAATAATTATTCAGTTCCGTTATTGCAAATTTCATTATATTTCTATTATTTTCATGTAATTCGCTTCAATTATCCATATTTCTAATTGGTTTCGATAAACTTCATGTCAATTATAATTGTGTCTCAAGTGTCTCCCAATTTTCTAATGATGCCTTACTAGAGATTTTGATGATTTTTCACGTGCATTAGTTGTCCCAACTTTTTCTTCACTTTATAATGTCACCCCAACGCAATATTAAATAAATTTTCAAAATATTTCATCGATTCTGATGATTTCTCATGTACATCGCCTGTCCTTATTCTGTCCCCAAATTATTCCATTGCACCACTGCATTCTTTAATGAACTTCCAACCAATTGAATAATTGATTGACGAATATGCAATCGATTTTGACGACTTTTCATATCAATCCGGATGGAGAACTCGGAATGTTCACCGACGCCAACGCTTTTTCCGGGCGTGCCCCAGTCCTCTCTGCGATCAATTACATATTGCCGTTATTACGTGCATGACAGAGAGTTACGAAAGATGATTTAGGTTGAGAGAGTGCCATCGAGCAAATCGTGAGACAATGAATGGAGATACCGAAAGGTGAGGCACATGGAGTGAATCATTTGAGAAATAATCATCAATATGTCACCTGCCTATTACTGGTTACATACCAGCTCCATGTACTTTTCACATTTTTCAACGTTTCAGTTCGCCTATTCCTCCAGTCATTTTATTTACATTCTTTCGTAACACGGGAGAGATCCATTGACGTCTTCAATGGCGACTTCATCCGCGGAAAAATTATGAAAATTTCTTTTTCAAGTTTTTTTCAAATGACTTGAATTGCAATTATTTTCTTATATTTTTTATGAAAATCTCATCGAATTTCCTGGAAAGAGAAATAACTATTTATCTAAAGATGTACATGGAATGGAACATGGAATGTACATGGAATTTTCGGAAAATTCGGAGATTCTGAAATTCAATTACCGGTTTTCGAGAATTTTCTTGAATATTACCAATTTTCAATAAAAAATATCATAATCTAAGTATTCATAATCAACATTGAATTCTTTAAAACCCCATAATTTGGTCATGAATCAATCTTGCGCTGTAATGTTTCTGCATCTAAAAGTTCAGCAAAAAAATCTTTATTTCCAAATGCATTTGTCTGCCGAAGTATTTCCATTAATCACTCATTCCTCCATTCCCCAGAACTCAATGATATTTTTTATATTCCATTGTGTTCACCTAACCACCTGTTTTCAATTACCCCAAGAAATATTAACATCTCGTTTTATTATCTCTCCGGGCAATGAATCAACATGAATAATAAAAATAAAAATGTTATAAAGTAACGATTCGCGGATGTTAACGGGGCAAGTCCACCTGGAGACACGCCTAGAGTATGTGTCAAGGCGCGTGTAGGTACATGCTAATTCGCGCTCTCTTATCTTGGAAAATGTTCTATGCGCTCTATCGAACAAAAGCGCGAGCACTTCACCTCTCTAACTAATCCAACATCGGTGATTTGTTGGCGACCTACCGCCGCGGAGAGTGCATTTTTTTTTCTATTCCCCCGCCTCCAGTTTTCTTATTACTCACCCCCACCTCATTGATTTCCCATACAGCTCGACAATCTGTCATTTACAGAGAGTCTGAGTCTCGTGCGATACACCTCACCAGGGGCCGTAACACGGGCGCAAATAGACCGAGAGATAATAGCGATACAATCCTAAGAATAGAAGCGTTAAGCCAACATAAGACATATGGACCGTAACCCACCGATTAACGCCGTTGTAATGCGCAATGAATTTTTGGGTAACGATATCTCTCAACACCCGGGGGATTTCCTCTTGAATTAATGGTTATCTGAGTGCACATAAATTTTTGATAATTCATTTTCAGGCACTCTGCAAGTGACATCAGGCTTTCAGGGTGGTGTTGCTTTCGGGGAATTGATGTTGGACCACATTATTTATTCGTGTGGCTCAAATTTACTCTAATTACACCATTTCACCCGAATGTTATGACGACAATTGAATTCCTTAATGATTTCTAGAATACAGCATATTTATTGTGGCCCAAATTGCGTGATGATGTGGGTCAAATTTATTTCACCCGTGAATAATTCTGACTGCAACTTCAGCTGCATGAATGATTTTGGAAATCTTACGTTAA